AAAAATTAATAAAGCAGAAGCAGCTATTTCTACTCAATAAAGCAGCGGGGTCTGAGGAACGTGTTCAGAGTTTGAATTCTGAGACTTGAAGTGACTGCGTTCAAGTACACAGCTGATTAGAGAGATGTACAGCCTCTCTCTCTCCTGGCCTTTCCCTTCAAACAGAGGTACCTGCCCTGCAGTCACATTAGGACCTCTAACCAATCAGAGGCCTTCAAGATGGCTGAAGAGGGAGACGACTGATCATGTGAGCTGTGTTTTAGTGTGTTTAAACCTCATGTTGGGGTGTGCTTTTGTTTTTAGGTATTTTACCAGTCGCTGCTGTCGGAAGAAAATCTTGTATCTCCAAAATGGTAACTTTACAGGAGAAGGAAAAAACATACTTTACTTTTAATGTAAGTCAATGGAACCAGACTTTTTTTCGTAGTCGTTTTGTGCCGTTTCTTTTAATCCATTCTTCATGAAATTTACATACAATGTAAAGGACAACAGGCATTTTCAAGTTATGGTAAAACCTGAAAAATGTCAAAAATGAGGATGAAACAAATCAAGGTTTTCTTCCGACAGCAGCGCAGCGCTTCTTTTAACTTGGTTTGCAAGACTTTGTCTCTTGTTTGGGGAAGTGCTTTAGTTCGTATTTGACCTGCACACTTTTAACTGTTTTACAAGAGCTTGATTGTTTGTGCCACCTGGGGTTTCAAACAGGTAAGAGGGGCATGCCTATACATTCGCACCACATAGAAGTCCACTCTATCTAGTTCCCTAGGTCAGAGAGCACCACAACATGTGCTTTTGTTACTGGTCAAGTGTAAAGTAGTTGGTTTTTGTTACCTTTTTTAGATTAGCTAAGTACTTTTTGTTTCGAAGTAGGCAAGCGTGGTTAGGTGTTTTTGGGGTGTGGGTGTTTTTATTTATTTATTTTTTTTGTGCCATTGACTCTTTCAGCGTGTTACTAGGTATCATAGTACACCAGTTATGTTTTGATTGGTTTCGATAAAATGGCTTCAAAAGCTCTACTGGCCTGTTCCTCCAGCTTTTAATCCATCACCAGTTCAGTCTTTTAATGCCACATTACTGATCCCACAGCACCCTAGACAAACGTGGGGTTGTAACATTATGCAAAAGTCAAATTGGGTTTTTGTTGCTTTTCTATGTGAAAATACATTATCACATCCTCTACAGAGAACACACTTCAATACGAGAGTCTCAGATTAAGCATGTGCTAGTCTTCACTCTCTGGTAGCATTGTGAGATGCTAACTAGTGGGTTGAACTAACAACAGGGGGTTGAACTGAGATTTCTAGTGAGCTGCTTTGACAACATCCATTTATATATCCTACTGTACAAGAGCACTCTTTATTTATTTAATTTACAGACAAAACATCCATTAAGTAGAAATTACTCATTTTTCAGCAGCCATTGCAAACACATGTAAAAGGAAAGCACACGAAAGCCTCAATAACTAAATATAAGATCAAAATTTCAATATTTAGTGTGTCCTCTGTTTACCTTTATTACAGCTTCCATTCTTTTCAGGAGACTTGCTTTCAGATTTCCAAAGAAATCTGCAGGGATAGTTTTCTGCACCTCCAAAGTTCAGTCTTGGGTCATATTTTCTGCTTCTCAAGATCCAAACAATCCCAAACACATTCAGTGATGTCTGGTCTGGACTCTTCTTGTCTGTTTCCTTGGCTTAATGAGGCTTCTTAACAGCTACCCATCCGACAGACTCATTACACTGAGTTGTCTTCTCACAGTGGGAGGATGGACAGAAACACCTGTGGATGTTTTCAGATCTGAAGCTGCTTGATTTTCTCCTCTCTCTCAGAGATGAAAGGTTTATCTGATGGGGAGAGTTTTGGTGTCTACCTTGCATGGTTGTCAGGAGTCCCACTTTCTCTGTAGCCCTTTAATTATGCTTTTGAACTCTAGTTTTACAAACTCCAGTTTTTTCACTTATTTTCCTAACTTGACAGAACTCTACATAAATGTTTATAAATGCTTATTCCAATAGGCAGCATCTGTCATAAAGGCTAATTCAGCTAACTTTTTTAAACTGACAAATATAAGCGGTAACACTTTCTATGAATGTTACCTTTGTAAGCATCTATAAACACATTCATAACATGTTGTAATGCATTCATAAGGCATTATAAACATGGCTATAAATATTTATAAAAATGCATTACACGTTATAGCTATGTTCATTATGCGTTATGAATTGTTAACATAATGCATTATAAGTACTGATCATAACAAATTATAAGAGCTCATAAGTCATATTTGTCCGCTCTAAGTAAAGTGAAGGGTACTGTACTAAAGCCTCCTCCAGTGTTAAGAGTGAGGCTTCAAGTTGAAGTATTTACTGAAGGATTTACTGAAACACTAAAACATTCACAGTAAAGCACATTACAGGCTTCAAATGTCAGAGTTTAAACTAGTGCTGCCATCAGTGTTTTACCCAATGTGGGAAAGGTAATGTACACCACCGTTAGCCTGGTATTTGTCTTTACTTTACACTCTCCAAGCTGGGACTGACTTCTTTGGCACTGACAGTATAACATGTTATCAACACTACTTATAATGCTTTATATTAACAATTCATAATGTATAATAAACATGGCTATAAAGGGTAATTCATTTTTATAAATGTTTATAATCATGTTTATAATGTCATATGAATGTATTATAACATGTTATAAATGTGTTTATAGATGCTTACAAACGTGACATTCATAGAAAGTGTTACCATATAAGCTTTATAGTGAATGATGCCTATTGGAATAAGCATTTATAAACATTTATGTAGGGTTATGTCAGTTGTCATGACAAGCTTATCACTGCCCAAATGGCCCAAAAATGACTTTGAAAAACGTCTGGTTCCACTGACTTACATTAAAAGTAAAGTAGGTTTTCTCCTTTTCCGGGAAGGTTATCATAGGTAGGTTTCCTTCCAATAACAGCGTTATTTAGGTGTCATATAGCCTTTTGAACAGCACCCTACAGTAAAGTGTTACTGAAATATCTCCTGAAAAATGAACAACTTGAACTTAATGGCCATTTGACTGGAAATAAACCAAATGAAGGGAGGGCTCTGATTTTTGCACAGTGCCGTACATCTTGGTATGGTGGTTAGAAATTAAAAGACGTCTTCATGTTGAACATCAGACAAATCTGAATAGTAACATTCATGATCCAAGTCAGATGGTATTTAACAAAGCCTACAAGATCTGGACAGGCTTTGCAGATGAATTCTAGTTTTGTGACATATGTTACTTATACCCTCTTCCTATAAACTCCTCCACATCTATCAAGTCCAGATGTACGTGCTGAAATCAAAGTAAATAAAGTGACACATTTTGGGTTTTTTTTTTCACTTTTACAAGAGGTCAAAAAAGTACAGATGGCGCTTTGAAGATGTTCTAAAATATGAGTGTCTGGGGAAGAGCAGAAAGATAAAAAAGGAGGGGCGAAAAGATGGTGGGAAGCAGCAGGGACTCGCATGAACATGTGCAGATGAGTAATGCGAGCTTCAACTTGACTGGATCTCTACAAGGACCAGCGTGAGATAGAGACCCTGCTGTACATCATCTTTTTATGCTTTTTAATGTGACATAAAGAGATACAAATGGATTCTGTCAAACCTTTACCAAGCCGTAACCTATCTCACCCAGGTTTTACGCGGTAAAATAAATATCAAACCGCCCAATTAACTGCGCTACACGGATGATATGAAGCTGAAAATTGAGTTTACTGTGGAGCTGAACTTAACCATCTGTTTCTGAACAAGTGTGAGGCACATCTTTTCACACCAGTTAGATTTGTTATATTTCAGAGTGAGAAAGTAACTGTGACTGGAAAGGTATGCGCCGGTGAGAATTTATGCAGTACTGAATCTTTAAGTTGGGATAACATTTGATGAAGTCAGAAAAACAGGTTGAGTTGTATGCAGATGTTTCAGCTCGACCTGACTCTAACCTCAAACATCTCGTGCCATTCTCAGCGAGCATATTCCACACGCATTTGTTTCTAATTAAATTAAAGATGATAAACTTCAGAAGAGGCATGTAGTAACAATAAATAAGGGCTGTCATGAAAAAATAAACACATCACTGGCAAAATTTTTACTTCCTGATAAATCGGCAATGATTAGTTGCCAATTTGTGCATCCTCAAAAAAGATTAAGGGTTCTTTAGTAAAGAAAATGACTCTATGCATGATTAAAAGGTTCTTTGCATTGTGATACGATGTCAAGCTTGTAACAATAGAAGAACCCTTTTTAGTACTACATAGAACCCCTTTCAAAAAGGTTCTGTATGGAACCATATATAACACTTTCTCCATTAATCTGAACAACATTTTCCTGTGTAAAGAACTCTTTAATCATGCATAGAACCCCTTTTGAAAAAGGTTCTATATGGAACCATTTACAATACATTCTCCATCAATCTGAAGAACCCTTTAATCATGCAAATGGTTCTTTGACTGCTCATGCGTCTATGTAGAACAATTTTCTTCACTAAAGAACCCTTGAAGAACCATCTTCTTGAAGTGTGTATGATGATACTGCACTACTGCTTTTTCTCAAAGAAACAAAGCCTGACAAAGCCGCCCAAGTCCCCGGGTAGCTAGGTCTTCCCCTCACATGATACTACCAACGAGGGTGAAAGCAACACGCTTGGAGGAGAAGCTAACTGGTAATTCTGTTACGTCAGCTGACAGACTGCCATGTTGGTTAGCATCACTCTGAGTGAGGAGAGGACCGTCTTACCGATCGAGAGAGAGCAAGGACACTTACGCTCTCTTGGACACTCGGCCACGATCTGTGGCATAAAACACGTTCAGTTAAGCTCATTTTCATTTGTTGGCCTTCCTTTTTATTTGAGTACATAAATAATTGGTAGAAAGTGAGAGAAATGTTCTATAAATATATTTATATTTATTCCTGTTATCTGCTCAGTAACCAAGGCTGCGTTATGCAAATGAGCACAGGTACCCACCTCCACTTGGTCCATGAGAAGCTCCTCCTCCTCCTCAGTCACCTCGAGACACACTGGAACCAAGGCAAAGGGCCGGCTGGCCATCTGCTGCCGCTCCCGCATGAGCTGCTGGAGAGAGAGAGGGGGGGGGGGGGGGACAGAAAGAGTGAGAGGAAGAGAGAGGGGGAGAAAGAAAGAAGAAAAGTAAAAAGAAAAGATGAGAGAAACAGAGAGAGAGAGAGAGAGCAAGAGAGAAGGAGAGAGGGGTAGGAAAGTAGAAGAGAGAAAAGAGAGAAGAGGAAGAAATAGAGCAGAGAAAGAGGGAGAGAGACAGAAAGAATGGAGGAATGAAGTTGGAACACAGAGATAGAGAAAAATAGACAGAGACAGGCAGTCAGGGAAGAGAGAGGCACAGAGAGAGAGGAGGAGGAGAGAAAGAGTGGAAGAGATAGAGAGTCAGAAGAAGAGAGACAGAAAAACAGAAAGACAGAGAGGGTGAGAGAGAGAAATAGGGAGCATAGGGCAGAGAAGAAGAGAAAAGGGAGGGAGAGAAAAAGAGAGAAAGAAAAGGACAGAGAGTATGAGAGATACAGAAGAGGGGAAGAAAGACAGAAAGAAAGAGCGAGAGAGAGAGAGAGAGAGGAAAGGGGAGAGAGACGGAGGGGGGGAAGGAGAGAGAGAGGGAAAACTTAATTAAAGAGGAAATGAGAGAGGAATAGAGCTTTTGTGAGTCATGCGAGGGGTTCTTTATCTCTGCATGCCCCAAAACACCCTGAAGAAAACAAATGTAAACAGACGAGAACACAACACAATAACAGCCACGACTGAATAGGCAGGAGCGCAGAAACACACAGACACACACACACTCACACACACACACACACACACACACACACACACACACTCACACACACAGTGCACCGTGTTATGAGACCACGACACTTCATTACTCCACATATGTGACACTCATGAGGAGCCCAGATAAGTTTAAAAAGAAAATACACACACATCACTTTCAAATTTACAACTGAACCCACACCGACGCCAACAAACACAGAGCACATGACAGCACAAACACATGAGGACTCGTAACAATAACTCTGGGACGGCCTTAGCTTGACTCTGTAGCTTATGGGCCGACACCTGCTCCATAAAATATAAAACAGAACCAGACCACTTCAGTCTTTATAGGAACCGAGAGCATTTCCACACACGAAACTCACTCGCCTGGTAAACATCCTCTGACTGATTATGAAGACTGTGTTACACAAACCAACACTTTCTCTGAGCACCTTCGGACTGCGTATTCACACGCAGGCCTAGACTGTAGCGGAGGATCCAAAACTCAGATCTACAGGCATTTTCACTGAACAGATCCGAACAACAGAGAAAAGAGATCAAACAGATGTGTGTAAAATCCCTCTGAGATCCCTTAAAACCAACAAAGTCTGGAACATTTCAACTAGTCTGGGCAGTCATGATATATTTATCCGTATCATGCTATACTGACAATGATCGCTGATTGTTATAAGCATTTTGCTTAAAGGGGAATTCCACTATTTTTTTTTCAAAATGCATAACTAAATGGTTAAGACAGGTGTGCTCAATCCTGGGCCTGGAGACTTACCACCCTCGAGAGGTCAGATCCAACACACCAGACTCTAATACTCAGATAATCCTGAAGGCCTTCATTACCTGGATCAGGTGTGTTAGATTAGGGTTGGAGCTAAATTATGCAGGGTGGTAGATCTCCAGGACCAGGATTGGGCACCTTGGGTTAAGATGTCATTCAGTAGTTAGATGTGAAAGGCTCTGTTCTAGACAAACTTACAGAATTGGAGTCAGAATTGTTCAGAAAAGTGCTGGTAATGGGAACCAGACATCTGCAGTGTTTAGCTATTAGATAAAATGGTTATGAATACACAGTTTGCTGCCTAAGACATTGTTCTACAATGGTTTTGAGATAAAGTTTTGATCAAAAAAAAACATATATTTATGTATTTATAATTTACAATATTACATACAAAGAGACGACACGTGTAGGTTTTGGATAGTTGCAGATATCATGATCCCCAGTTCCTATCAGCACCACTGTAAAGATACTGGAGTCAGCAAGTTTCTGTTCAATGAACCATTTCACAAGAAAACACCTTCAACAACTGTTTTCATCTGACTAATTTGGCTTTAATTTTAAGTCTAAGAAGGATTGTTGTGGTGTAATGAACAATATTATTGCCAATTATTAGGACAGGACATGAAATAAGTAATGATAATATAACAAAAAGAAACAAAATGTAGAACATTTCTATATTCTGAGGACTCTGAACAGGTCCTAACATTCAAACTGTAATACATTTAAAACTGTCTTAATATCACAGGAATAGAACAAAATTCTGTTTACCAGTTTTTAGATACAAAACACCTCATAGACCTGGCTTGTAACTCACACACTCAAGTTTGGCAGCTTGAAGATGCTCCACAAGGGGGCGCAATTAGTTCATTTTGGTGCTTCATAACAAAGCGACAAAACCACAATGCGCCCTTTATAATGCATGAAGCTTTCTACCCCAGCTGTGAGCGGCAGAGTGTGATGAGGTGCGATAAGATGTGCCGATTTTTGATGGATCTCTCTTCACATCACCATGTCATTCCACCTCAAAGTGAGAAGGAGGGATCTTGTCAACCCTTCTGTAATATTCTATAATATCAATATTAATATTAATTTCAATTGTATTTATTATATATTTTTTTCATTTTATTTATTTTTATTATGCATAAAATATGTACCTAAAACATCCTAAAAAAGGATGGATGGACGACAAAAAGTGTAGCTAGGATACTAAGAGAGCGTAGCTGACATTAGGTGAAGTCTCTGCTGTACATCGATGACACTGTGCCCTTGTTTCTTTGATAAAGGTATGTTTGACGCTTCTTTATCAGTTCACTGGAAACTGCTTTCTTCTGTCATGGTTTATAGCTACAGCCAGAACCACCTGAGCAGTCATATGACTTTATCATATTCACATTTGCTCAAGGAATGTAATGTATCTGCCTCAAATGAGCATCCAAACTTTCCCTTTTTCCAATTTTTGATAATTTTGTTTTTATTCAATATGTCAAAAAACATATAAAACTACACGAATGGAAACCCAGCTAGTGAAAAATACATGCTGTACTTGGTGAAATACTGTTCTCTTCAGCTATCAGTCCAATCTCTAAAGTAACAGAGTCACAACCTCAAAGTGTGTGTGTGTGTGTGTGTGTGGTTTGTGGTTTGTGGTGGGCTTCTGGACCACAGTGTCCGGACTGAGAGCTACTAAACATGACGCAGACCAAGGCGCTGATGGCAAATTCATATGTCTGGACAATTGTAATGATGGTCATAAAAACAAGGTTGGATGTTGGTGTGTGGGTTTGTGTGTGGAACATTTAGCACACATGTAGGCCTGTGTTTGGAGCAAAGAGTGGTTTATGTCCCCTGACAAGTCCTTCAGAAGAGGGAGAAGGACACAGTGGCATCTCTCGCCTGGGCCTGTAAATGCCCCATAAAACGCATAATTAACCTCCACAAGCTGTAAACAATGGCTGTCTCAGGATGCAGAATAAGAGTGTATGAGTGTGTGTGTGTGTGTGTGTGTGTGTGTGTGTGTGTGTGTGTGTGTGTGTGTGGTAGAGGAGACACAAAACACCTCTTGTTCGTCACAGTGAGAAAGTTCAAAAGACCATTGTTTTATTTTGTGCACTAAATTATATTTTGCTACTGAGGAGAATTAAGAGACCAACTTATTTAAGTATTTAATTTCCAGTCAAAACAGTCATTTAGCACAAGTTAGGAAAAAAAGTTGCAGAAAACATATTTAAAAGAATATATATAATTAAACATCACATAAAGTTCAATATTTATTTTGTCCACTCTATACCTTTATCACAGCTCCTTCTTTTCTGAACATGCTTTCAAAGAAAGCAAGAATTTTTTTCAAAGAAACCTGCAGAGACATTGTTCAACGCCTCCAAAGTTCAGTCTTGGAAGTTGGTAGCACTTTCTGCTGTCCATGATCCACCAAGTAATAATAATAATAATAATTTTATTTATATAGCACTTTTCATGCCGGTGGCAGCTCAAAGTGCTTTACAGACAGGTGATAAAACATAGTTATAGAGATCATTAGTACTTAATTAGAATCAGAAGAAAATGAAGAAGATACAAGATAAATTACAAGATTAAAACCATGAGACATTCAGTTTTAGTTAAATGCTAATTTAAAGAGATACGTTTTTAGGTGCTTCTTAAAAGTGAGCACTGAGCTTGACTGTCTAATAAAAGGTGAACTGAGCTCCACAGTTTAGAAGCATAATAACTGAAAGAGTCTCTCCATGTTTTCTGTATTTTACAGAGGGTCTCTGTAGAAGGCCACTATCTGCAGATCTTAGATTGCGTGCCGGAACATAAACAGACAGACACTCTGTGATGTAAGCAGGTGCTTTAGGGTTGTTTTGAGCTTTAAAGACTAGTAGCAGAACCTTGAAATCTATCCTGAATGATACAGGCAGCCAGTGCAGCTCTTTTAAAACGGGAGTGATGTGATCTCTCTGTTTTGTCTTTGTTAGGATGCTGCTGCATTTTGTACGAGTTGTAAAGGATGTGTAGTTTTCTTAGCAAGTCTAGCAAGAAGAGCATTACAGTAGTCAAGTAATCCCAAACACATCCAGTGATGTTGAGGTCTGGACTCTGGGACAGTCAGTCCAGGAGACTTTGCTTGATTTGCCTTTTTCCTTTTCTCAGTAAGAGCTTCTTGACACCTACACATCCTTTTAGACCCACAGCGCTGAGTCGTCTTCTCACAGTGGAAGGATGGACAGAAACATCTGTGGATGTTTTCAGATCTGAAGCAGCTTCATTTTCTCCTCTCTCTCAGAGATGGAAGTTGTGCTGTTTATCTGATTGGGGCAGTTTTGGGGTCTACCAGGTCTTACAGGGTTGTTCAGGAGTCTTTTAATACAGTTTTTGAACTCTAGTTTTGGAAGTTGCTGTTTTTTTTAATGCATTTTCCTATGACTTTCTTCTTCCTTGTGCTAGTGGATCATCTATTATCTAATCTGCTCAGAAATAAAGTGCTGTACATACAGTG